ACTAAATATCTATGAATTTTTATAAAATAATAGTAGTATAACCTTAAATTAGCCGGTAATATAAAATTTTTGAATTTGAATTTTTTTACAACAGTTATTTTTTAATTAGACAATGTTGTAACAAAAGATAAGGAAATCACAAGCTGACTGACTAGATATGGGCTTGTAGATATAGGCTTGTCTATAAAGACATGTGTAACATTTGTATTTGTGGTAACACTGGAAATTGTAATGATAAATACCACGTTTTTACGTTGTCGTTTTATCAGTTTTATGCTTCGTAAATAATAGTATAATACCTACATGTTATTTTAAGAGTGCACTAGTGTCAACTGTCAATACTGAATACAAATAATATAACTTAAAGGTGTTCTGTGTCTTGTTTTATTCTTCTTTCAAAAGTGTTTTTGAAATGTCTGATAATAATTTAAAATATTTTGGGATTTTTAATAAAAAAAACAAAAACGAAAATTCTAAACCTAAGAACATAGATGAAAATGATCAACAAATGGCATCATCGACGCAAAATTCACATTCTGATTATCAACCTCCGGTTATTGACATAAATATAAATGTTAATGTGGCTAAATTAAATAACGATGGAGCGGATTTGGGTGATTTATTAACTGGTCCATCACGTCCAGTCTTAAAGGTAGATATTTATAAGTATTATATCTGATATTTTATAGGTATTATTTGCTTATTTGCTTACTTAGTTCTGTGACTTCAATATTATTATCTTATTAGTTATTATTATATTATATTTTGCTTATTTTAGTCATATCATAGATTAAAAAATAAATAAATAATAATAAATGAATACTCTTTAGGAAATTTTAAAGAAACCTGCAATTTGTTAGCAAAATTTTACCCCGAATTTGCTCAGAAGTATAAAGAAAAAACCAACCATACAAGCCATGGAATTCAAAATGAATTAATAAGTATATGTGCTAATATATTAAGAGAAACTATTATAAAAGAAGTCAATGAGGTAGGCATATTTGGTATCATGTGCGATGAAGCAAGGTAATATATTCAATACATTAATTTCATTGCTAAGAAATTGTGTACATTCAATTTGATTGAATTGTAACTTTGCAGGTGTTTTAAAGAAGAGCAGATGGCATTATGTATAAGATATTGCAAGGGATTGGAGATAAAAGAAAGATTTTTGGGTTTTATCGATTGTTCTATGAAACAAGACTCAGAAAGTTTTTATTGTCATAAAAAAAAAATAAATGGGAAATCATAGAAGACTAGAAGAGGGACTGTAATTAAAGACAAATATGACTAACCTAACCCGTGCCACACAAGTGTCAAAATATTTGTGCTAATATTACTGAAGAATTAAGACAAAATGTTTTTGAGGCATACTATGAATTTGATAGACGACAAAAAAACATTTTTTCACAGTATCAATAAAGACTGAGTTATAAGTAGGTACTCAAGTTCCACTGATATTAAAAAAACTTGTTAATAGTTTTATTTTCTTCCAATTGATGGCATTGTGACAAAAGTTTGTCAACAATTTACTTTGAAGACACTTAATTACACAAACTTATTTAAAATACACGGATTCAAATAAATCTAAGTTACATGGTAAATGTTTAAACCAAAGATATAAAAAAACTACCTTAAAGTAAATGACATGTATCAGAACCAGAAAACCAGTTCATACTACCCAATAATTTGAATTAACAAGGGATTAATGTATTATTTTTATTGTCCCCAACAGTGGCGTGCTCAGGAATTTTGAATGGGGGGGGGGTTCACCTTTTTTTAATATAATATTTTAATCAATGAATATTTATAACAAATCATTATGTAATCAAATGTAAAAACTATATTTAAAAATGCAGTACTCGCAGTAACACTGACACTCGTGGATGTAGTTTTAAAAAAGTTCGTTATCTTTTTATTTGACATTTTAATTTTAAATTAAACAATTTCAAAACACTAAACTCAAAATACGAACACATATAATACAAACGTATAACTCGACGCCTATCAAATTCACGATTGAACAATAAAATATATTAAATAATAACAGACCATACTAAGAATATAATTGTTTGTTTATTTTAATTTGTTTTACATTTAGATTCCAGTCGATGCGTACTAAATTAGGAATTACCGTGTATTACTATCATGTAAGATATCAAAAAGTATAATTATAACTAACATTAGTCAATACTCGAAAGCTATAAATAGTTTTGAATGTTGCATATTCGATATTTCAGTATTTTTCTCTTATAGATTATCATTCGATTATTTATATAAGCGACAAACATTATAATCGGTTCTAGCAATGTAAATTGTAAATGTTAATAATAATTCATTCAAATGAAATCGTTAGGTTATTACTCATTTGATTATTCGATTTTTTTTCGACTACTAATCATTCGATTATTCGATTATTTTTTTTTTCGATTACTAATCATTCAATTATTCCCATCACTAATAATATGTTTTTATAATTATATAAAATGTATATGTTGTACAATCACGACGGGTTACATAGAAAACAGGAACATTGGTTGCGGTAATATGTTAAATTGGTAACAAAATAATGCACAATGATACCTGAACTATTATTATGTCTGACAAGGAGAAAATTATACATAATCAATTTATAAAAAAAAAAAAAAAAACTAAAATTGAAAAATATAATAATTATAATTTTCTATATGTAAATTGTTAATACATATTATATATTTGTCAAGTGCCAAGGGGGGGGTTTGAACCCCCTAACCCCCCCCCGTGAGCACGCCCCTGGTCCCCAAAGTGCATTACAAAAGTAGAACGATAACAATTTTATGAAATTATAACTGAATATTATATAACAAAGATTTTAATTCAATTCAAAAAGCAAGTCATACAAGTTTTATGAGAAAACAAGCAAAACAAAACTAGAAAGTTTTACAAATAAAATACAGCAGGAGTTTCAAATTTTGAAAACTAGTCCTTTGATAAGTTTATGTGCCCATCCACGTTATTATCAAAAAGTCAATTTGAAAGATAGGAAGTTATATTACGTCAAATCATAATTTTTGTGCCATGGCCTTTTAAAAGCAAAGCTCTCTTTATAATTATGTAAGTATGTGGGTATTCAAAAAAAAATATACATATTTTTTTGACTCATTAACATGTAAGTTTGTGACTTTTATGTTGGGCTAGCTGATTGAATTCTTATGGTAATTTCATAAATTGCATGGTATTAATAAAAACTTTAAAAGTTTTTGAACCAACTATACTATATTCATGTCAAGAATCATACTCAACTGCAACTAGTTTCCATCTACATCATTTAATCCATAATTGTTCCCCTTCCCACCAATGAATAAACCAATTGCGTGCTTAACAAGTAATAATGGCACACATAGGTGCACAAGATAGATACGGAGTATGGTTCTTAACTTGAATAGAGTATAGTTTAATTAATAAAATATTTAAGGAAGTATACCTACTTACAACTATGATTTAAAATACACGATAAAAGTATATTACCAATGTACTTTGATAGAATAATGATTCAAATATGAAATGAAAATCCAGAACAATTTCTTCACACACATAAACTCCTAAAAATGAATTGTATTTATTATTAATTAAGGGCATACCTATGAAAAGTTTTTAATTAACATTGGAGACAAAAGTTAATACAGAGGCATATTAAGTTATTGATGTCATCCATTATTTAAATCCATTTATACTCTTTTCAAAATAAGATCATGACCAGATAGCGGAGTTGTACGCTTGGGGGTGGCCTTGTTCCCAAGCATTGGTCGAACAACACATCTGACCACCGCCGGATAAAAACTGATCGCCGCTGGGCCATGGTTTTATTTTGAACAGAGTATAGAATATACTAAAAAGTAATTTTCATGGATAATTTCAACATCAGAATCAAAATGTTTTCTTATCATGTGCTTGGATATAACTAATTATATGTATACGACTAGAAACATATGAAATGGTGCAGACATATCAACCTTAGAAGTTGATGAAATATCTTTTCAACAAGTACAGGATTTTTAATACCAAGGAGTCAATATAAATAACAGGAACTGCATGCATACGAAACTAAGCACCGCTTAAAAGCACAAAATAGCTCCTACTTTTCAGGTCACAAATATTTAAGTTGAAATTATTGTCAAAGAAAACCAAAGAAAATATAAATTCTACGTATCTCAGACCAGTTGTATCATATGCGTGTAGTGTACCTGGGCTACAATGACAGGCAATGAGAAGATTAAATATTTTTAAGAGAAAAGAGGGATTTCATCATAGGCGCACATAGGGGGGTGCTTAGCACCCCCAGTTTCCTATAAAATTTATTTCAGTAATCCACCAATAATTTGTAAATTATTAAGGTTTATTGAGCTGGACATTTTTTTTTCATTATAATTATAAATATCTATTTAAATAGACAATATTATTATAGTTCACGAATTCACAGTATTGTATGATTGCACGTATTTTTCGTCTGAACATTAAACAATAAACAGCAATCATAATATTATAGGAAATTATATTATCATTTATCTAATCTTACTTTATATTCTTAGGCAAAAGGTTCAAGATTTTGCAAATAAAAATAATATACTGTTGACAATGCTACTCACAAACGAAGGTTAGTTCTTTATTATTTATTTGGATTATATATTATGGCTTTATTGAATAATATTGTATGTTTATAAAATAAAATAAAATAAAACATACATTTAAAATGTCAGTACCTAAGTCTTTATAATAACATAGGTATTGTTAAAAAATATTTATGTATATATCTGACTATAGTGTCAAAAGAAAAACAAACTCGCAAACGTCTTGAACCAGCCAAACTTCAAGATTATGCCCTTAGTCATCAAACAGGAGCAGAGTCTGAAAATCACACTTCAAACACTATTGAATATTGGCGTACAACAGTTTATTTAAGAATAATTGATGCAATAATTATAAATTTAGAAAAACGTTTTTCTGAAGAAAGCTTAGAGCTGGCCAAATCTGTAGACAACTTTTTTAACTTGAATGAACATAAAAGTTTGTGTTTTATAAACACTTATAAGGAATATTTGATAAAAAATAACTAACTATTTAAAACATTTATTACATGGTCATATCTTTTGAAATATTATTAGTATATAAATCTGTTTATGTATATCAGAATATTTTGAAAATATCGACAACTAGTTTATCAGCAGAAATGCTGTCTTAAAGAATAGTCTACCAGCCAACTTTGAATTTGAAGACTTTAAAAATCAATGTCATAAAAGTTTGTTTCCAAATGTCTATAAACTAGTTCAAGTGGGAATGATAATTCCAATTTCTTCTTCAACGTGTGAATGCTCCTCTCGGCTAAGCGTAGATTGAAAAACTGGTTACGCACCAGTATGGGCCAAGAAAGATTTACTAAGCTATCTACGCTTAGCATTGAGAGAAATCTTACCAACAAAATAGTTGGGGAAATTATATTGAAAAAATTTGCATTATCAAAAAGGAAATTAAATCTTGTTCAACATTAATAATTAATGATTACATATTATCATATTATAACTTATAATATAATTACTTTTAAATATTTGTTTTTATTTTAAATACAAATTTATAATTATCGCAATGCAGTTATTATTGTATTGGGGGGGGGGGGACAAAGCCCCCCACGGATCTGTGTACCATAAGTTATTCCAGCACCCCCTAAATTTACACCCTATGCGCACCTATGGATTTCATCTAGCTTTTCTTTATATGTTATAAGAATAAATAAAAATATAATTTTTAAATTAGTTAAAAATACCTAATATATTATTTATTTGTCTAATAAGGAAAAAATTAAAACAAATGTAAAATTAAAAGTATAAACTCTGTTTTGTACTCTTTTGTTTTGTTTTAACCTCCTGAGACCCAACACGTATTTAAATTTTTCAGTAAAAATGTAATTATAAATAAATAAATGTTAAAGAAATATATATAATGTTCAATCAAGGAAAATTTTTACCCCGACGGTAAAGGTACTTATAACCCGCACGACCTACTGAAGGTTAAATTTGAAACCATAGTGGAATGTAGATCTAACTCATACATATGACAGTGAAAAGTCAAAGAAATTAATATTGTATACAAAGGGCCTAGATGGTTTGTAAAAGCAAAAAAAAAAAAACAACACTGAAGTGAAATGTAAGAAAATAATTTTTTAATTAATTCTATTGCAAATTGAAACATGTTCTGAGAAATTTTATCTAACAACTAGGCTAATTAAAATAATTGCTAAAAGATTGATAATTTTAGCTAAAAAAAATCAGAAAAATTAAAATTAGTGTAGTATTAATACTTTTACATTAATACACGTGCATTGTGCGAGAGGATCTCATTGAAATCCAATACAAAATGTATACATTTAAACTTGAAACATAGAAATGTATTTATACAATATTAATTCAAATGTATACATTAATTTAGATAACTCAGAATAATAGTCTAATCTAGAAGTTCATAACTAGGGTGAAGCGCCAGTTTAAGGTGCCTCGATCTAGAATTGAAGATAGCTCGAAATTATTTCAAATATAAATCAAGCATGCATATTTTTCACAATTAAAAAAATATATTTATGAAATATATATGTAGCCTGTGTATAATAATATATACGACAATAAGTTTGGTTAAACCTATCTAAAACTGAATATTAATACAAAAGATGTATTAATACAAGGGTGCCTCCAGATTTTTAGAAAATACTTTAGGTTGTAGTGAGTCAAATAAGGTTTTAGAAACCTATAGTTTAATCTTAAAAATGTATCTAATCTATAAATTATCTCACTTACAATAATGTGGAGTCCTTGTCATAATATTGGTATATTGGTTGATGGTAAGATGGTGTTGCAACTGTTGGTTATTTTCCTAGGAGTTGTAACATACTGCAGATTTTTTTCATTGACAGTGCACTGTTAGGTGATTTCCACCTAGCATTTGAATCCAATAGTATAAATGTTAAATGGTTCTTACTGGCTGTATCAATTTGTTTTGATTTCTGATTTATCAACAAAAGAATATTATACATTACTGATCAGGATGCAATGAATAAATAGTGGTAGACAGTTTACATTTAAATGTAATAATATAAAGGTAAATTTAAACAACACATTAGTTAAATTGTAAGAACAATGTGAAAACTCCTATGTATAATATTAATCGGGATATTCCTTTTAAACGAGACTACGACAACCATCCAAGACTAACAGCGTTATAGGACTACCACAGTATCTTAACGATAACTGGAGATAAACCCTCAACTATTATACCTGTTGGCCATTTATACACACAACTTTATCATAAATACCTAAACTTATATCTATATTTTTTCAGCAATTTCTATTTGAATTTTCTAAATTGTATCATATTTGTTTACGGCAAAAGAAAATATCCTATGTAATCCAACGTAATAAATAAATATCTAACCAAATATAGTTCTGCTAGACTTACTCCTTTGGCACAATGTTAAAAACTATTATAAATAGTTTAAACATATAAATATTTGTTTCTAATCTGAATTTCTAGAACATGTCTTTAAATAGTTTTTAGATGTATGAACCAAGTCTTAGAGGTATCAAAAGAAGGATTGTAAGGTGAAGTCCTAATAAGAAAGACCAAATTGTTTTTTAAAAAATAATTCAAAATTTTCAGAAAATTACAATGGACGGTTTTCTGTAACTAAAAAAACAAATTAAAAAAATTCACAAAGAATTATAATATGATTTGCTAATATAATTTTAAATGAAATAGTCTGTAATAGCTATTAGGAGAGTGGGAAAATTTTGATAGTGTCCGATAATAGAATTGTGATGTTTCACAAAACAAGGTAGTCTCGTACAACAGGAAAAATTAATCTTACGTACCTAATCAATGTGCACAGAACACATCGATTATAGTACATCTGAATTTTACTGTATTTTTGACTCTCTTATGCATAGCGTTCTCCATACCCTTTTTCTTAGACCAAAGATTTTACAATTTGTTTACACCTTCATTGTAGTTTTTAGATGGACCTACTGTTTTCTAAACCAGTAAGTCATAATACTAAAGACACGGTATAGAACATTGGATAGGTTCTAGATTTGCAAATAACCAATTATAATTTATAAAATTGTATTCCTGAAGTGGTAAACAACTTTCGAGTTAAAAATTAAAATTCGATTCTGATTGCAATTATTATAGCACAATAACATATTAATGTAAGTGTAATAAGTTTTGGTTACATCTTTGAGTGGCATTTTAAAAGTAATGACTCAAATAATGATACAAAACATATTTCAGATTTTAATGAGTACCTTATAATTTTGGTGAAATCTGTGTCCATAAGAGACATGTTTTGTGTTTAGTGGTAACCAGCTCCAATGATTGTTGTCAGGTATATATAGGTATTATTACATATTTTTTTACTTCAATTGTGAGACAGCAATTTAATTGTTTGTAAAACCACAATTATTAGAGTGGTGTCACAATTCTCCACAAAGATTTGATGTTAATTATACCCATAGTGATCCATGGTTGTTCAGTAATCTGCTGTGGGTGACTGCCCACAGCCAGAAATAATGGTGGAGCCATACCATTAGTGAAGTGTAGGTTGAACAAAGAACCATCTCATCACCGCTATCAAATTTTTCATTGTTGTCGCGCTGCAAATGCGCTCGTATCATAAAGTCTTGCTTGATGATAAATCGGCGCATGCCAGACATTACATTATTCATTATTAATTTATTATACATTATGTACAATAAAAATATAATAAAATTTATGGTCATTACATTTTTTTTTAATACAACAGCAGCAAACAGCCATTTATTACTGTGGCGAGTTTAAATAAACCTAATACAACTTTTATCATCTGGAATAAAACGGTTGTTATTCAGTAAGTAAAGTAGTTCACGTAAACAGTCGCGGTGCCACGTCGACAGGAAAATAAGGTGACCTTAAACTATAAAACTATTGCGTATTCATTTTGATCCGATGCAATTTATTTACAACGCATTCTTGACATGGCCCACGATGGCAACACATGGAACGATGTATACATTCGAATATTCGATACTACCACTACCGTGACGCGTTCACAGTCAAAAGCAAAACGGATCTTGATACAGATTACCGATGCAGCCTGTTGTACCATCCTATCGGCTGTTGTTTACCAGCAGCAGTTGCAGCTCAGTGGGACTTGTGTCGCGTCTCGCAATTACGATTGGCGATAATATTATCTATGCCGTGATGGCACTCTACACAACCTTCCCCCCCCATCCCTATTCACAGGCAATCACATCAACACAAAGCGTTTCCGAACGATCTTTGTGATTGATAAAAATAATATTATGATAAAGTTATCTTTTTGTTATCTTTGTATTCATGATTCCAGCCCAGTGTCTGAGTTCGTTATTCCAGACCACTGAATTTCGGAACTAATCAATGAATAAAGAATATTGTTATTATGTAACGAATCAGTAATAACTAATAAGTAACATTAATTTTAATTATACGCAGCTAAATCGTTTTATTGTTTTGTTTATGTTTATATCTTATCTTCTGAGTTGTTCACAACATTTTTAAATATGTGGAGTAATTTGGAAAAAAGCAATATTATGGATAAGTCTCAAGGTAAATAAACAATTTAAAATTTATATTGCACTTCATAATCTATAGTGGATTTATTCACGCCAATTTATTAAATTTTATTATCTCACAAATAGTTATTGATTTTTCTTTTTTCTTTAAATTGATTAACCATTAACTAATACCAAACAAAATAAATGTGTGTATTTTAAAAATGAAGGTATCTATTAGATAAAATAATGTTTGATGTATAGAAAAATGTCTAGGTATCTAAATATAACACTATTTTATGTTATTCATATTCAAAGGTGCCATAATAATCTCCATGGCCTTATAAATCTAAAGTAGGTTAATAATGTAAATTGTATAATATATTGTATATATATAAAATTGTATATATATTAATGTATAGAATAATTATTAGATACATTTATCTTTTATAAAATAATTTAGATACAGTACCTAGATACACCTACTTACTATTTATTCTTAAATTATATTTTTTAACATAACAGAGATAACTTGAATTTTAAGTATATTTTGTAAATAATATATGATGTGTACTTTTATTGAATAAAATATGTGTGTTGCATGAGTAATCACTAATCACTAAAACATTTAATAATTCAATAATGAACTAATGGTTCCTTAAAAATGGTTGGTCTATCAAATTTTTAGTGAACCATCAAACTTTAATACATTTTTTATGTAACCTGGCATAATATATCCGTAAATGCCTTATATTGTCTTAGATATATATATTATACGACAACTTAATGTGAATACATAATACTTATGTCGGATAGCTTGACAAGTATATTTATTTAATGAATCAACCCTGGGCCAATAAATCATATTTAAGAGAGCTCACTATCAGTTCAACAAATGTTTGGAATTGTTCATGCAATCTGGCACTCTATAGTATAACATAGCATTACATTATTACCTAAAACCAACATGGTTGGTGCAATGGCATTAATATAATAAAATTGTTTGAAAAATATTTATACTAGCATTGATAACATTTTAATTTGGTAATAAAAATAGATGTTCGGTTTTAAGTTATTCTTACTCTTATTTTAGATTTAGTAGCTGGAAAACAAATTTTAACATACAAGCATTTATTAAATAGTCATGCAAAAAGTTTGGAAAAAATACACATTTCAAAAAAAGCTTTATTTATTTGTAAGTCTCCAGTAAATATAAAGGTAAGATTACTTGTTTTTATAAAATTATTGTATACCTAAACAATTTTAAATTACTTATTGATAAACAATAATTTATAGATATCAATTATTAAATTACTAGCTTGAAATTTGTGTGTTAAATACTTGTCAATTAATATTGGATGCATACTTATTATTTAATATATTATTTATATTTGTATTCCGGAAATTTGAAATGTGTTTAGGTCTAATTAGGGATAGTTTTTAAATTTGATTATAAAGTAAAACAGCTTAAATGATATTACGTAGGGGCAATTTTGTCAAAAGTTAATCATTAAATACTAATATTTCTTGATATTATAAAAAGTTATTTATACCTACATGTGTATAGTATCAAATTTAAGAAGACACCACACCCACATATTGGTGTTCCAGTCTTATAACATACCAAATTTGTTTTCAGCAGTTCCAATTTTGTGTAGCTTTAATAATAGAGAGAATTGATCATTATCAAAATTTTAGGTAAAAATATTATGTGTACTATCATACATAATGTGTTTTTACAATATTTTAATTCCAAAGCAAGTTATGAAAAGAAAAAAATGTGATTTTTTTTCTAACAAAAAACTAGATACAATGGAAGGATACTATAATAAAATGGAACTTAAATTATTACAAAACTAAATTCATAATATTTATTACATAGACACGACTTAATTTTAGTTAAACATTATAGTATAATAGTATAATATATTAATACTTATTGGACATACTTTTTAATATTTCAGGTTGATGTTGCTGACAAAGTAACGATTGATGACTTATTGGACATTGATAATAATGTATTAAGTACTATATTAAAGATTTTTGCAACATTAAACTCTGAAATTCTTTTTTTAAAAAACAATGTTAAAGTCAAATTATTTAATTCCATACTTTATTATGAAGAATGTGGTAAGAATAATAAAATACAATTAAAATGTATTAATAAAACATTAATTGAATATAATTATTTACCTAGATGAAGATGTATCTACTGAGGGATTAATACAAGTTAAAATTAGCAAATTTCTACAAATTTTATTAGAACTCTCAAATTTTGTTAAGCATTGTGAATACTTGCTGAGTGAAATACATTGTCAGTTTCTAAATATTTTTGAGTTTCAATTAATAACTGCTGATATTCATTTTCAGGTAAAATAATACAATTAATATGTTTGTTAATTTTTCATAATCTTAAACTTCAGTGTTTGTAAAATTGTCAATTTGTTAGGTTAATGAGTAGTAATATGATCAAACCAAGATTGTAAAATACATATTTTAGACTTCAATTACTGATTTCTAATGAGTCACAGACAGTGACATATTGGGTAATGTCGATACATATACCTAGATATTGTGATAAAAATATTTAGGCTCATAATAATTACTATTTGAAGAGACTTTTCTTTTAAATTCATAAATTTATTTTATGTACTTATATTACAAGGCTTTGGAGACCTGTACCTTATTTATACTACCATGTCAGGCATTATTAAAAATATCTCATTATTTACCTGATCTATCAAGATTGATCAAAACATTGGCCTAATCCGGGAGTTTCTGGTGGATACCAGACAATTTAAATATTTAATTATTTAACTATTAAATACTTACTATCAATTATATGCAAGTTGTATAGTTTTGTAAAATTAATTAGAAATATGCAATTAGTTAGAATAAAAAATAAATGGTAACCCTACCGTGTATATTACTACTTATTTATTAATAAAAGGGTTGAGAATTAATTTGTAGTCAAGTGCATTTTTTAACTTATTATCAAACATAGCTTTCTCAACAAAAAGTTTAAATTATGCAATATAACATTTTTAATTGTTTAGGTCATTGTTTAAAATTGCAAAGAACTTAAAAATGCACTGCTCTGCTTATACAATATATTGATTTTATTTAATTAATTATTTTAGGGTATTTTTGAATATATTGGGGATTTACTATACATTTTTGTTGAGTTGGACAAGCTTATTATATCACAACCAATCTTGCAACAACATTGGTTTCAATATCGAGACATTTTAAGTACTATAAAAATAGATTTGTCAAAATATAATTGTAACACAAATGATATAATTCAGTTGGAAAATATATGCAATGATATTGAATCAACCTTATTATCTGGAAATATATTTGAAGTATGTATTATCATTTGTATGCACTTTATAATTGGAATAATTTAATTTATTAATATTAACCTAACCTGATATTGGTTATTTAATTGGTAAATTTTATTTTATTCATTTAAAAAAAAACCAGATTATTATTTGTAATTTATTTTTAGTTTTGCTTTTTTTTTATTTATTTTACAATTGTGTATGAATATGAATATTATATGCATAAACATATTTTTTTATTCTTCAGAAAGTATTAACTTCAGATTTTAATGGAAAGAAAGAAATTCAGTCCTGTGATGATTTTGTGAATGAGTTTAAGCTTTATTTGAATAATTATGTACTGCTATTAGGACAACGTGCTTATCAGAAATCCAACAACCCGCTACAGATATGGTCACGTATTTGCTCTACTACAGTATTTTATACTTACATATTTGGTGTTTTTGACAAGAAGTTACTTAAACAATTTACAGACTTATTAGAAAAGGTACATTATATTTTCCAATTCTTAAATTTAAATAGTATGAAATCTGTGTTTATAATGTTTTATTAAATTATTAGGTAAATCATATTCCATTGGATGGTAATTTAGTATGGAATCCAGAAATGTTTGTATTGAATTTCATAGGTCATTTACTCAAACCTAATACTATAAGAAAAAAGGAAGACAATTCTGAAAAGTGTACTTTGGAATTAATAGATATCACAAAGAATTTTTCAAAAACTACTACTAATTATTTGCAACAGGTTAGTAAAATATATTGTAAGTGTGTTATTATTAATAATTAATCCAAGTTTAAACTGAAGACAATATATTATATTTTTTTTACTTATCATTTTTATTATTATGTGTACAACTATACATATTTCATTATACCCACTAAAATGTAATAAGGGATTCATAGATATCTGTTCTACACTAATAAATTTAAATCTAGAAAAGAACTATTTTATTTATAGTGAAGTGAATGATGAGTAAATGTATTATTAAGCAATATTTTTTTCAAAACTAAGATTATTAACAATAAGCAAAACGTTTTTCTTCTCAAATCAACTGGTGACATGAAAATATGAACTAGTAAAATGTCCATAATTAACAAAGTGGTTACTTAGAATAACTTGTGCACTTTTAGTATTATTTAACTGAAGATTTTATAAATAATCTAGCTAGCTCAAATTATTAAAAATTTAAATGCAATAAACAAAAATAACAACTATGGAAGTGTATACAAT